AAAAGAMGCTTGTATTAGAAATAAACKAATCATGCTCATCATATTAGTGTCTGCGTGACCTTATGTCCCCGTCGACCATAAAACATCAATTCATTAAAAGTCCAGTTTGTCCCTGGAATTTGCAGCATGCAGGTAAAACTCCTTTCTTCATTATGGGCGCATCCCTCATCTCCAGGGCAGAACAAACCCTTCCCAGTCACACCCAGCCTGAGAGCTGGTGGTGTTGGGCTCTGTGGCCACCCTGGAGCAGCACAGGTTAGAAGATGTGGATGTGAACCCCATTCCTCTGTGCCCTGGCACCTTGCCCTGCCTTCCCTCACACTGCTCACCCCTCCCCTGCCCAYTCACAGCAGCTCCAGAGCCGTCATGGGTCATTTCTGGATGATGTACATGATCTGTTYTTTGCTGCTGCTGCTTTTGGCAGCTTGTTTCGTTATTTAAACTGCCTTTCATGAGCAGTTTATGTCAGGAATCCCTCCCTCCCACCCGCACGCACACACTCAGACACTTAACTTTAATCCCTGACCTCTCATTCCTGCCTTCATTATTGCTGTGAGTTGTTTCTTGGCCTCGGTCCATTCCTTCTCCTCTTGGTTCCTCCACAGCTCAGCTGGTTTTATAGACTCCATCATTTCCCAGCCCAGTCTCTTTCAGTGAAGGTCACTGAGAGCAAATTCTGGTGGATTCAGCCACGATGGAGTCCCCATTCCTCCACCAGACCCCTCAGCAACACCCTGAGCACATTTTSCTACATTTTCCCATAATACCCTCCAGGTGTGGTACCAAATTCAGACATCCCACTYCTCCCAGCATCCTTACTCTTTCTCCATGGTTTTTTGACAAGAGAGTAAGAACAGTCCCACTCATGCTTTTTCCAGACCCTTTCATCCAAGATGGATTCTATGGGCAGAAAAGCAGGATACTGGGTATTTTTAAGTCTTCAAAAACCAAAGATTTCCTAAGCTGGRAGCATAAACATCAACATAACGTCCCCTCTGCTTGTCACTGTCACTACTCTGCCTTGCAGAGGGTCTGGAGAGGAACACCCCACCCCAGCAAAGTTTCTGGATGGAGTTTGGCCATCTCCCACCTCCCCTTTCCCCCCCTGGCCAGCAGCAATCTCCTACCCAGGTCCATGTCAGCAGCTTTGGGCCGGTGGGAGCAGGGCACGTTCTTGAAGATGGCATCGAGGATCTTCTCCTTGACCTGCGTGATGGTGTCGCAGTTGAGGATCTTCACCGGGATCTCGGCGCTGTTGACGTTGTCGGGGTTCACGCAGCTCAGCACCTGGGAGGGAGACACCACTCATCTCAAATCAGCACAGGAACCACCCCTGGCTGTCCCTCTGGTTGTGTCTGTACCTTACAAACCACAGGGATCTGGGGTGCAARAGGGGGAGGAAATTCAAGAGAATTCCATCCCTCAAGAGAGCACAGAGAGGTGGTTTCACATGGGGATATCTTCGTTCTGCTTAATTATGGAGTCACAGAAGGGTTTGGGTGGGAAGGGACCTCAAAGATCATCCAGTGCCACCCCCTGCCATAGCTGGGACACCTCCCACTATCCCAGGGTGCTCCAAGCCCCATCCAACCTGGACTTGGACACTTTCAGGGATCCAGGGGCAGCCACAGCTTCTCTGAGCACCCTGTGCCAGGGCCAACCCACCCTCACAGGGAGGAATTTCTTTCTTAATAAGAGAAATTTCATGAACATCAGCTCAGGTTCTGGTGCTTTCAGTAAAAATGGTCATTAGGRTGGCAAGGTGACCTAATTCAGGAGCAGCCTCTTTGCTTTGCCACCTGGTTTTGATAGTTCTGGTGAAAAGCCTTAAATTTGTCCATCTGCACAGCCACAGAATTGAACAGACCCTTCTCAGGGGAATGCTATTAATCTGAAATGCAGGACCTAAAAAATGAAACACAAAACTGTATCAGCAACCTCTGCTTTCACACACAGAGGAGGAAAATCAATCCAACCGGAGAGGCCTCTCCTTTCTCAGAAGGAAAATTTAATTATCTCCACTCTGTCCAAGAGTAAATGCAAAGCACGTGGTGAGGGGATATACCTTAAACACAGAATATTCAACAGCACTCTGCCTGCWAACCCTTGGCTGTGTCTCTGGTGACCATTCTGCTCATTTCTGGTTGCACAAGTGTGAAGTCTATCAAGTTTTATAAACTTAGCACACCTTTGCACTTGAAAAGGGGTTTTCAGTGGTGCTGCAGGCTGTACACATTCATTAAATGTTCCTGTGGCACTTTTACAAGKGCAAAAATGTTGGTTTTGGTCCTTTAGACAAATTTTAAATTCCCTCCTGTAGCATGCAAGAGGTGCTGGGCTCTCCATCATTTTCCATATTCACCTACTAAAATGCAGTGGGAACCCAAAATCAGGGTGAAATCTCCAAAAACGGGGTGAAATCTCCAAAAACGGGGTGAAATCCTATCAGCCTAATTACACCAGGCTCCCTTTGGTGATGTTATGCTCAGCTGAGAGGGCCTTGTGAAGATATTGCTTACAAAGGGCTCTGTGATCTTGCTGGATGAAAGAGGAGATGTAAATAGGAGATATTGATTAGAGATAAATAATGCTATTATTTATATGCCACTTCCAGAAGTATCGAAAAAGCATCAATTCAGATCGTAATAACAACACAGATTTACAGTTCTGGGGCATCTTTCATCTCAAAGGATCACAGAATTGTACAGAAAAAGCTCTGTTGAAATGAATCCAGTCTTGAGGTTATGGGTTTTTTCAGCCCTCTGCATCCCTCCTGGGTTATGCCCATTCCCTGCCCCMCAGAAACCTCTTCCCCTGCAAATTCCTAAGGCACACCCAGAAATCAACACCTGATTGCTGGGACCCTGCACTGGTGTTAAATTTATTTTTGGACTTGACCTTAAAGGTGTTTTTCCAGCCTGAATTATTCTATCCCACACCTCTGTAGGGAAATGGAGCAGGGATGGCAGCTTGGGACAGCTCTTTGGGGTCACACTTTGGTTCTGAAGTTACTCTTCAGGTCCCTGAAGAGCTCAGCTGAGGTGAAATGAGCTGGTGATGCTCAGGGCAAGCTCTGTGGTGTGATAAATCTCCAATATAAACTGCTGGATTTTGGGTCAGTTCCCCACAAAAGGCACTTGGGGCTCTTTAAAATGATCTGAGCTGCCCTGCCAGGCCAACATCTGTTCCAGAAAACTCAACATCTCCTGCAGGTGCTGACCAGTGTCCYCCACACCAGCACCCACCATCCAGCTGGAATGGGAAAATGCTGATTTTGCTCTTGGTTATCCTGGAATTTCCCAGGGTGAAAGTTTTTCACTGATTTTGGAAGGTTCCATGAAAACTCTGCCTGAGTGAACCACCTTCATTCACACCCTGACTCCATGAATCCTTGCTTTCCTGTTTTCCAGCCCAGCTGGAAGAAGAAGAAGGAGCAGGAAAGGCAATTTTTCCAAGGGCTGTGCTTGTGTTTCAAGCACAGAAGGTGCAGCTGGTCATTCCTGAAAATCCCTAAACTCCTGTATGTTCATCCCAACAACTGTCAAGGGTCTCCCTCCAATATTTTAGRTAATTCAAGCACYAGATATAGAAGCCAACAKSATTCCCAGAGCACAGTGGCTTTGGCATGAATCCCTCAGGCTTTGCATCACCTTTCCTGTGGAGTTTTCCAGCTGCTTTCTCATGGATCATGAAATTTTCCCCGTAACAACTAAACCAGAGAAAAAAAAATCCCCCTGTTCTGCAGTGCTGCTCAGACACTTCAACACAATCTTTGATGTCAACAGGTGGAGAAGAGCCCTCATGATGGCCTGGGTTGAATTCCTGCAGGATTGGTCACTCTGAGGGGAATTTTGTGATGATTTCCTAAATGCAATCAGTGGTGCAGATCCATCACACACCACCTTCCTTTGGGCTCCAGTGTCACTCAGGGATGTGACTATTTTGGCACAGGGAGGACATCAGCTGTTTGGTCACTCACTGAGGTCTGTGCTACGTAAGGATGTGCCATTTGTGGGGTCAGCATGGAAAGTGGGAGCACACAGAGCAGTAATCCCCGAGCCCTGCTCTCCCACTGACTCTGTGCGGCCTTGGGACATCTCATCTTATTGGATTTGTGTTTATTGACCTTTTTCTACATCCTTGGGCTTCTTTTTTATCTGCCAGCCCTCCCAGCCATGAGCTGTCTCAAAGTGTCTGTGTGCAAAGCTGAGCTCAGCTGAGCCCTGATCTCCACTACAGATTAGTGGCATTTAAATCATAAAGGTTCACATGGTGATCCTGGCTCTAAGTTTGAGGGTTTTTTACCCTAGATCAGGACATCTCTACAGTTTCTGTCCCAGGGACAGAAATCYTTCTCTCCCTTCCAGATTGGGCTGGAGGGTTCCATGGGGTTTGCACACAGTGAGGTTTGGTGGAGAAAAAGCCCAAAAAGAGCCAAGCACAGGAAAGCCTTCTGAGAATTACAGAATTGTGGAATGGTTTGGGATGGAAGGGACCTTAAAAATCTCATTCCAGCCCCCTGCCATGGGCAGGGACACCTTCCACTATCCCAGGGTGCTTCAAGCCTCATCCAACCTGTCCTTGGACACTTCCAGGCATGGGGCAGCCAGAGTTTTTCTGGGAAACCTGTTCCAATATCTAAATAGTGACTCCCTACCACCAAAATTCCCTGGGAAACCTTAACCAAAGGCTGATTAAATGATCTTTATCCTCTCAGGAGAGAGAGGATCTGATCAGGCTGTCAGCTCTGGGGCAAGGACCACRTCACTGCCCAAGTCACACTGGGCAGCTCCCACCTCCAAGCACTAATCAGCCAATTCTCCTGGCAGCTTCCAGCACACAGGAATATCTCTGCTCCCCTGTGTTGTTTCCACCATCAGAAATGAAGCTGATGCAGGAGATGGATGCTTTTCCATCTCCCAGCGATGGCAGAGCAGCAGCAGCAGGGATGAGGGTTTTGCATCTGGATTCTTTTTTTGGTGAATGTTAAAAAATCCTGGATTTTGGCAAAAGAAGGTGTCACTCAACAGGGATGAGCTCTGATGGGGTCTCATGGATGGAACAAGGCAGCAGAGCAGAGGTGATGAGCACTGAGTGGTAGCAAAGCAGTAACACAAGAAGGGGTTCCTCTGAGGTGAAGCTTAGGGACTGTTTAACTGCAGCTGTTTATCCTAGAAAATCACATCTGGAACCAGCTGAGCTGCTTCTGGGCTGAGAAATCCCCTGGARGCACAGGAATTGTAATAGACTGCTAAGACCCCAGGACACTGAGGTCTGCTTTCTTGGGAAACTGTGGGACCTGGCAGAGACCTGGAGCTTCCTGGTTTATAGAGAAATCCGACTGAAACAATCTAAATTTAGTGCACGAGATGTGTATTGCAAAATGAATGAACTCCAGATGTCTGGATGTGCTCTGGTTTTTTTTTTTTTTTTTTTTTTAAACTTTTTTAACCATACGCTACACCTTTCCCTCTACAGTGCTGACCTGGGCAAGTCAATTCCTCTGGATCTGCTCTTCATTTAAAGCATATTAAAACCAATTTTTTAAAATATTAAGGCATAGAATAGAATTATAGACACAGAGATTGTCTGAGTTGGAAAGGATCTTAAAGATCATCCAGTTCCAAACCCCTGCCATGGGCAGGGACAGCTTCCATTATCCCAGGGTGCTCCAAGCTCTGTCCAGCCTGGCCTTGGACACTTCCAGGGATCCAGGGGCAGCCACAGCTTCTCTGGACACCCTGTGCCAGGGCCTCACCACCCTTACAGGGATGATTTTTTTCCTAATTTCCAGTTTAAATCTTTCAGTTTGAAGTCATTCCCTCTTGTCCTGTCACTCCAGACCTCTGTAAATAGTCTCTCTCCATCWTTTCTGTGGAAATTCCCACATTACAAACACTCAATCAGTTCTTGCTTTATTTCATTATTCTGTATTTATAACAAAAGATGTCAGATTGCTCAAGGAAGGTAGAGGAAGGACAAAATAAAACAGAAATCAAGAGAAACAGAAATGAAGAACAATCCTATTCTTATTCTGCTTCTTCTTAATCTCCTTCACCAGAGCTGATCTCTGCAAATCTGCTGCGATTCCTATCGGGATATATTTGTCTGCTCTTGAGATGTAAGAGGGAGAGCTGATTATCATCAAACAGCACAAAGCCAGAGGAGGAGAGCTTTGTTCAGCCTGATGTATAATTACTACCCTTTGCTGGCTGCTTTAGATCAAGCCTAAAAGGATCGGGGGGGGGATTTCCTTTGCTGAAAGTGATCGCTCTGTGGCTGCATTTTTTTTCTCCCTGACACTCATTTTCTCCACRTGTGATCAGCCCTCTGAATTTTTAGACAATCACATGTAACAGCACAGAAGCACCACTCTGCCAATTTGATGGGAAAGTCACGTTTTTAGTATGTAAAATAGAACTGCGGCTTTATTTAAGTCCACCCTCTCATCAGACTTGGATTCAGTCAAGGCTCAGCTCTAGACTGGAGTTACAGAACACAAAAGGGCATTTCTAGGATCAGCCCACCTGAGCTAAGGTCTAAGACAGGTCAARGAGTTAACAGAGACTGAGATTAGACCTAGATTATCTTTAAGGTTCCCTCCAATCTAAACCATCCCATGATTCTGTGATTGGACACAGCTCTCAGAACCATCTGGAGCTATCAGATGATACCAAATGAGCATCCCCTCATTTGAAAGTGCAAATAAAAAAAAAAAATCTGATCAGTTTAGAGTATCTTCCTACTGTCCTAAAATTTGGGGTTTTCTGAGAAAAAGATGTGGGAAACAGAAAAAATCACGAGGATCATTGAAGGCTTAGGAAGTGTTCTTCATCCAGCAGAGACTTAGAAGCTCAGTGGATTTAATGCACCCAGGAAAGAATGAAGGCCCACAAACACGCTAAGAAGAGATATCTAATGCTCTTTAATTGATGCTCTTTAATCAAGTGGGCAGAGGGTGTAATCTYAGAGCAGAAGCTAAAGCTGCACATATGCAATGTGTATCTTGCACCATGCAGACAATTCCATTTTAAAGCAAATGGCTCAGTGACAGGGATTAGTTTTCTTTCCCTTGAAATCTTTTAATTTAAATCAAGTTTAAACCAAGTTCCTTTTCCTTTGGCTTGTGCTTTCTCAAGAGGGATGGCTGCACCAGCTCTAGAGCTGACCTAAGAGGTCCCTGCACTCTCTACCTCCTACTACTCCTTGATGCTGAAATCCTCATCAGAAAACACATTTTTTCATTTCAATACTCAGCCTCCAGCAGCATTATCCTGCTGGGATACAGGAATAAGTTGTCCCAGAGGGTCAATCACTGTYTTCTGCTCTCTAAACTCCCTTGAGATTCTGGCCAAACCCACAGCAAGGGGTGCCCAGAGCACTCACCAGGGTCTTGTAATCGATCTGCTGTCGGATGAGCTTGTCCTCGCTCAGCGAGTACCGCGCCTCCCCAGTGATGGAGTCGATGGGACCCTTCTCCATCTGCTGCTTGATGGCACARAAAAGGGAGAAGAGAGGTTCTCCAGCACACTCCTGCAGGGATGAAAGGCARCCATGAGGTCAAACTAGAAGGTTTGGAATCCAAAATCCAACCCACACAGCGTCCCAGTGACTGCCTGGGTTTGCCATCCCAGATCACTCTTGACAGATACATTGGTGGTGTTGCCTTGAAAGGCCAGTTTTTAATAATGACACAGACATGGTTAAGGGGATAAAAAGGGTTTTATCTTGGTATTTGGGATCCCAGGTGAACAACTTGATGGCAGAATGCACACCCGTGTAYAGCACRGRTRCAAGTTTTATAGGTTTCAGGARTTAGCATATCTATCTAAGATTCTCCAATAAGAAACTTCACAAATGGAATAATGTCCCCCTATTCTAACTAATCCCCCCTGGATGAGGCCAGAGCTCAGTTTACACAAGATGTTCTGGACAGAAGGATTCACCCAAGGCTGGAGCTCGGGTTTAAGAYAGCACAGGKCACACTGAGCCCTTCCTKARGAYRTTTGGTCTCTSYSC